CCTGCGCGTCCGGAGCCTGTGCTCCGCAACGGGAGGGGCCACAGCAGTGAGAGGCCTGCGTACCGCAAAAAAAAAGAATATTTGTCTCTTTTCTTTCATTTTTAAATTCAATTATTTATATATATAAGTGTGGACTCATATCTAGTTGTATCTAGTTGTTTTATACTTTGGGCTGTAATCTCAAAGTATTTGTTGTTCAGATGGTCCAGCTTTGGCCAAGGGGAGCCCTTTCGTGTTGGCTCCTGTGTCCCTTTGACCTTCCGCCATCCCTTTGTGTTGTGAGAATTTCCTTATTTTCTGCACTAAAATATGGTTCATGCACATTTTGTTTCTCCTGTCCCTAGAAATCAGCTGTTTCTCCTAGGATAGGCCCAAATTTTCAAGTGACATTTCCCCCTCCTTTTGTGCCTTTATCACATTTACCAAAAGATGAAATAACGCATTTGTTCACTCAAGAAGTATGTATTGAGTAACAATTGTATGCCAGATAGCGGACTCCTCCAGTTACGTTTTTGAATAGAACAAATACTGCCTCTGCTTTCAAAAACATTAAATAAATACATACGCACACACATATATATATATATTATATATATATATTTGTATGTGTGTGTGTGCTGTATATGCATGTGTTCATCTCTAATGAAATGTATTGGCTTCAGTAAGCTTCAGCAGTGCATTGTCACACAGCAGAAACCATTTTTACAAGACCGCTGGAATTTCCGTGGGGCTAGCGCAGTTAATTTCCTGGATGTTTGTTCCAGAGGAGTGTTTCCTTAAAACCAAACGTCCAAACTACCAAACTCAATTTGACAAACCAAGCCCCCATGTGGTTCATGAGCAAAGAGATTGGAGGCGGGTGCTGATCTCAGCATCTGTGTGTGTTTTGGAATTCACGGGATAAATACCCTGATACAGGAGCTGTCAGGCCTGATTAATACTCCACTCTCACGCTGCGTGTGCCTTAACCTCTAGGCGTTACACTTGCTTCCTCGGTCCCCCGTGAGGCATCCGTCAGCATCAGCTTTCCCGAAACTCCTCTGCTGAGTGTTTCTCCTCTGTGTCATATGTTTATTTGTCATCTTTGCTAAAGGATTTTCAGTTTGAAAAATAATTTGCTTCAAGGATGAACTTGGGAAAGATGGGGAGCAGTTTTGTGGGAATGCCCACGGTGGGGGCCAGTTCATAACACACCCAAAAAAGTCCATCGAATAGTACTTGGCACAAAAGAGCAGAGTAGCTTCTATATGAAGTGGGGTGGTTAGTAGGTTAAACCACCCCAAAACATGTAAATGATGACATCATTTCCATGGAAGGACAATTGATTGTACAGTGGGAACTATGTAACACAATCCTAGTGGTTGCTAGATAGAATATGACATGTTTATGTAATACTGTGGAATACGAGATTACTTTTAAACATGGTGAGGTAGAAATCTAATTCCACCATGTGAAGATAGGTAGGTACAGATAATCCAAATATATGGAAGAATATACATCAATTACTAACCAGAGTTTTCCTTTGAGAAGTAGGTTTAGAAATAACTTTCACCTTCTGCCCTGTAAATGTCTTTATTTTTTGAGGATTTTATGACGAACGTGTAATATTTTGGGGAATCACCGAAAGTATTGAATGCTCGATGTAACATAATATTTTTATAGACAGTATCATTCAGAAAATGTTCCTTCTAAATAGTGAAATAATTATCATGTCTGATGCCTTTCAAATCACCTGCTACATGTAAGGATATTTTGCATGGATAATAATAATAGACTGAAGATATGAAGAATATCTTCTCTCTAAGTACTCTGTTGGGTGTACTTCCTGCCTGCCAACCATCTTTAAATATCATTCTGAGTGTCAAGAATGAACATCACTGGGGATTTTTCATGATGAATGTGGGCATCTATCCAGGAAGTAGATGGTTATTTTAGAGAATAAAAACAGATCTGATTGTTTGGATCTGGTCGGTTTTAACCAGGATGGGATAGAGCAGTTACTTGTGGGACACTATAATTAGCGTCCTAGGGCTGATGAACAATAGAAATTTGTTCCCTCACAGCTGTAGAGACCAGAAGTCCAAAATCAAGGTGTTGGCAGTTTTGGTTCCTTTTGGAGGCTTTGAAGAATCTGCCTTCTCTCTTAGCTTCCAGTGGTTTCCCTCCAGCCCTTGAAGTTCCTTGGCTTATAGAAGCATCCTTTCAATCTCGGCCTCTGTCTTCATGTAGCATTCTCCTCATGTCCCTGTCTTCACATGGTCATTATCGTATAAGGACACAGTCATATTGGATTAAGGACCCACCCTACTCTAGTATGACCTCTTCTTAACTGATTACATCAGCAATGACCCTATTTCAAATAAGTTCACATTCTGAGGTCCTGGGGGTTAGGACTTCAACAAATCTTTTTGCTGTTAACAGACACTTAAAAGATATAGATGCCTGGATCCCAGCTGGAAACAAGAGCAAAAATAAACAAATGGGACCTAATTAAACTTAAAAGCTTTTGCACAGCAAAGGAAACCATAAGCAAAATGAAAAGACAACTTATGGAATGGGAGAAAAGATTTGCAAATGGTGCAACCAACAAGGGATTAATTTCTAAAATATACAAACAGCTTATACAGCTCAATATGAAAAGCAAACCACCCAATTGAAAAACGGGCAGAAGACCTAAATAGACATTTCTCCAAAGAAGGCATGCAGATGGCCAAAGGGCACATGAAAAGATGCTCAACATCACAAATTATTAGAGAAATGCAAATCAAAACTACAATGAGGTATTACCTCATACCGGTCAGAATGGCCATAATCAAAAAAGTCTGCAAGTAATAAATGCTGGAGAGGGTATGGAGAAAAGGGAACCCTACACTGTTGGTGGGAATGTAAATTGGTACAGCCACTATGGAGAACAGTATGGAGGTTCCTTAAAAAAGTAAAAATAGAGTTACCATATGATCCAGCAATCCAACTCCTGGGCATATATCTGGAAAAGATGAAAACTCTAATTCAAAAAGATACATGCACCCCAATGTTTGTAGCAGCACTATTTACTATAGCCAAGACATGGAAACAAACTAAGTGTCCATCAACAGATGAATGGATAAATATATATATAATGGAATATTACTCAGCAATAAAAAAATGAAATAATGCCATTTGCAGCAACATGGATGGACCTAGAGATTCTCATACTAAGTGAAGTCAGTCGACAGAGAAAGGCAAATATCAGGATATCACTTATTTGTGGAATCTAAAAAATGATACAAATGAACTTATTTACAAAACAGAAATAGACTCACAGACATAGGAGACAAACTTATGGTTACCAAAGGGGAAAATGGGGGAAGGATAAATTAGGAGCTTGGGATTAGCAGGTGCACACTACTATATATAAAATAGATAAACAGCAAGGATCTACTGTGTAGCACAGGGAACTATATTCAATATCTTGTAATAAAAATAATCTAAAAAAAATGTATACATATAACTGAATCACTTTGCCGTACATCTGAAACATTGTAAATCAACTATACTTAAAAAAAAAAAAAAAGATATAGATGTCTGGATCCCAGCTGCTCAATCCAGTTATTTGCAGTTGGGACCCAGACACAAGCATTCCAAGAAATAACATGTGATGAATTACAAGGTCTGCTAGTCCCCTGCTGCAGACTAAGGACCATTCAGATGGTATCCTGAAGACAGTTGTTCCTTTGCTTAATGCAAGCTCATTATATGAAATGCAGTTTACATTGACAACACAGATATTTCGTTAGTGACTATTTTTCCTTCTACAAAAAGCATTTTTCTACTCCGTTAAAGGTTACGAAATTTTTTTATTCAGAGGGTTCCCCAGTGGGTTTAAACTAGAATTTCAGTCACCCATGCTAATAATTCAGAAACCTGCTTAGTTGAGGTCCTCCTTCCCAGTAGGCCTGGCCACGGGACAGGCCATCATTCCCTCAAAATAAAGAACTCCTTTTCCATGAAATGACTATGTGCTTTCCATCACACTTTCTAGATCCAGGAGGAGATCAATGCAAATGCCCATTTCCCCCTTCTTGGAAGGTCTCTATTTATAGCTTTTGTCTGTTGGCACGCACGTGAGGAGTCGGCACTGCCATTCACAGCAGATGGATCAGGCTCAGCCATATTTCCCTTCTCACAGGCACGGTCTGCTTGGCATGTGGAATTGCATTCCCTTGCTCGCTAATCCTCAGAGACGCGAGTCTCTCCCCCACCCACCATGGCCCCCATAACCTCCCTTAGTTCCAGGAACTCTTTGTGAGCCAGTTGTACCAGCCCCCTGACATGAGAGCTTTACTTGCTGAGTCCTGATTTTGAACTCCTATACAGAGACAAGGACACTGCCCAGTTTCACCGTGAAGAATGTCAGGGGGCTGCTGTTGATATGGAAGGCTACACAGCAGGTCGGGGCAGAGCCCCGTTCCCAAAGCAGAAACTCTTTTGTGGGAATTGTCAGGCTTTTTTTTTTTTTTTTTTTCTTTTTTTGTCAGGCTTTTTTGCAGAAGCAAAGTTTGCATCATTTTAACTGTACTCACTTTTTCTTTTTTTCCTCTTTGGGCACCGGCTTAGTCAATAATTAAAGCATATCTGTGCCCATATTTCACATTCTTTTAAAAAATTTAGGGACTTCCCTGGTGGCGCAGTGGTTAAGAATCCACCCACCAATGCAGGGGACACGGGTTCGAGCCCTGGTCTGGGAAGATCCCACATTCTGCGGATCAACCAAGCCCGTGCACCACAACTACTGAGCCTGCGCTCTAGAGCCCACGAGCCACAACTGCTGAGCCCGTGTGCCACAACTACTGAAGCCCATGCATCTAGAGGCCCTGCTCTGCAACAAGAAAAGCCACCACAGTGAGAAGCCCATGCACCGCAATGAAGAGTAGCCCCTTTTTGCTGCAACTAGAGAAAGCCCACATGCAGCAACGAAGACCCAATGCAGCCAAGAATGAATGCATGAACGAATAAATAAATAAATAAAAATTAAAAGTTTATTAGTTTATTTTTAACTAGTTTATTGGTTAACCATATGCGATAATCTGTAGAGCCCCCTCCCCACAAATGCTGATGACTCAAAGGCAATGGAAGTGTTTTTTTCAGTTATCTCATAGTCCAAGTTGGGCATGCTGGATCCGGGAGTTGGCTTCCTTCCCTGCAGTGATTCAGGGGCCCAGGTTCTGCCCATCGTGTGGATCAGCCTTGCCCTGGGTCTCTTTGTCAGCAGCATCATCACCATCGTGTTCATCATCATCGTCAGCAGTAGCAGCATCTGCATCCAGCAGGTGGGAGGGGATTATGAAAGCATGGAGATCACATTTGGTAACTTCAGCCTAGAATCGACATCTTGACCTCATCTCTCTATGGGGTTCTGTGTAAAGTTCCATTAAGAAATGTCAAGTTTGGAATTGATTATATGAAACCATTAATGTCCAGAATGTGAAGGAAGTAGGTCCTGATCTTCCTCCCTTGGAGGTCTGGAAAGCCTCAAAGAGTCACCTTTACCTGGATGGTGTAGACCGGTCTGAAGGCCTGAACCTCCAGCTAGGAGTCACAACATTCTTGCACTCATTCATTCAGAAACATTTGTTCAGTGCCCCACGTGTGTTCCAGGTGCTGAGGGTGAGTGCACATCACAAATGAGGTTTGACTCTCAGGGAGCCTACAGTCTGATGGAGGGAAGGCAGTCAATACATAAATAGACACAGCACGGAAATGTTATATAATCTCAGCTGGAGGAGATAAGCCACAGCCGTGGAGAGTGAGTGATGGAGTCCTTTTATTTAGGAAGGTCAGGGAGTGTCTCCTGAGGAGGTGACCTGGATTTGGATAAGGATAGAAAGTCGCATGGAGACCTGGAGGGTGTCAGGGCAGCTGTAAGGGCAAAAATGAAGCTTTTCAAACATTAAGGTGGCCTTTGAAGCATCCTTCCATGCAAACTTGCCCTTCCAGAACCGTTTACTGTTTGTGCCCCATTCCGTGCTTTCGTGCACGTCAGTGTCTCATATGAGCATCTGGAAGGCTTGCTTGCCCTGTTTTTCCTATCCACCTGGAAAACACTTCCTCATTGTCATGCAAGACTCGGCTCAAATGCAGCAACTTTTGTATGCTTTTTACTGCCCTAGGCAGAATTTCCACTCACTCCTTTTCTTCACTGTATCTTGAATGTTTGTGTTCCCAGTTATATTTATGTGTTTCCATGGACATAAGAAGAGGGGTAGTTTGGGTCTGGCTGTCCGTCTTATCTCCAGGCATCCTGCATCGTGACCTGCCATGGTGATGCTTAATGATTACTGAATGCGATTATGCGTATCCCTTAGAAAAATAAAATGAGAGCAACAAAACCATTGATTATAATTGATACCACTTACTGAACATTTACTTAGAACACTGTTCCAAATACTTAACATGTGCACGCTCATTCAACGTGCACAATAACCGCATGAGATAGAGACTATTATTATTTATGGAAGAAGACACCGAAACACAGGAAGGTTAGAGTCCCACATTTATAATGACCATCATACACAAGTGTAATAACTAGTGTTTATTATGTTACCACTAAGCATTTAATGTGGATTGTTTTCTTGAATCTTCACACAACGCTTTGGAGAAAGTACTGTTAAGATACTCATTTTACAGAGGAAGGCATGAGAATGCAGAAAGCTTAAATAACTTGCCCAAGAACGCATATGGCTAATGCATGGCAGAGCGGGGGTTCAGATTCATCTGTACTTGGTTCCAGAATCCTCATCTTCACCCCAACACTTGAACGTGATGTGTTAGCACCAGAAAAGGGGGGAAAAAACAGTACCCACTTGTTATAAAGCTGGCTGCTCAAGGTAAACATTCGGCAGAATCCACCGACGCCGTGTGCTTGGAGCTGCTGTGTGTGCCAGGTGAGGCTGCGTCCTGCTTCTCTTGATGAATAATTCACCACCTGGAACCCTGTGTTTACTTCTGCTGTTGTCCTCCCAGTAGATGAGGAAGGAGCACAGCCGTCCACAAAAGCAGAGTTATAGGGTGAGAACACAACACAGAGAACGCAAGAGGGTTATTTATAGTCCAGAATCCCAGGCTGAAAAGAAGGCAGGCGAGGAGCCGAATCATTTCCCAGGGAATCTGGGAGGACAGTGGACAGTGGCAATAAAGAGCCCCCAAAGGGTCAGGGCTGCATACCAATTACAGCGACTTCCAGACACTTAACACGCACGGCACTTAGCACGCGATCAAGGACATGTTCTGTCCGGGAAGGAAAAACAACTTCTGATGTCTCCCCCTAAGCAGAGAGGCAGCCTGTCTGACACTGTTGTTGCAACACAACTCTAATTTAAATTCCAGGTTCCGTGATAATGAGTTGGCAGCCCCATCACTCAGGCTGGCATATCTTGATACAAGGGAAAACGTCCAGTCCAGTTTGACTCTTTAAAAAGCTGTCCATGCCAAGCTTCACATAAAAGCGGGGAGAGCGTGGTGATGTATCCTCTTCCTGCAGACCAATTTGTGAAACTACAACAATCACTGTTCAGTCAGTTCCCCAATTACCTCTTTTCTCATTAAATGTATGGCTTTCTGCTTCCTTAGAACTCTGTAGGTTGCAACAGACTGAATTCTAAGTAAACTCAGCTCAAGCATGGGAGATAGGAAGGATTTATTCATGCACTTGCAACCAAAGAGTTTCAGGGTGGGACCGGCTTTTGGCTGTGCCTAGACCTTGGATGCTGTTAGGAAGCTCTGTTTCTCCACTTCTCAGAACTGCTTTCAGCTTTGTTGGTTTTTTCTCAAGGTAATCCATGTATGTCCGGGAAACTCCAGACCCACACCCACCGTATTAGTTTCTTGGTAGTAACAAACTACCACAAGCTACTTAAAACAAGAGGAATTTATTCTCTCACAATTCTAGAAGCCAGAAGTCTGCTTGTAGGATTGGCTCCTTCTGGGGGCTCTGACAAAGAACTCCTTCCACGCACCTCTCCTAACTTTTGACTGCTGCCAGCTACCCTTGGCGTTTTTTGGTTTGTGGCTGCATCACTCCAGTCTCTGCCCCTGATGTCACGTCACTTTCTCTCTGTGTCTGTTTGCCTCAAATCTCCCTCCTTTGTCTTATCAGGTCACTAGTCTTTGGATTCAGGGCTCATACTAAATCCAGGATGACTTTATCTCAAGAGACTTGACTACATCTGCAAAGACCCTTTTTCCAAATAAGGCCACTTTACCAAGTGCCAGGGGTTGGGACTTGGATGTTTCTATTTGGCGACACGCACTGCAACTCACAACACATACCGATGTATAAACTGCAATACAAACAGAGCAAACCTCAGAAGTCCTGGGCTAATGCTCATCAGCTCTGATGACCTGGTTTAAAGAATAACTCCACTTCTGTGCTAATCACTGCAGCTAGAAGAATTCAGTGCTCTCACTGGCCAGTCCGAGGACATGGGCTGACCAGTCCATACCAGTTTGACCAACACAACGAGAGCAAAGAAAACATCTTGAGGGACACTTAAAGAAGATGTGCACTCAGTGTGAATGAATTGATTAAAAAATAACTGAAAGTCTGGAAGAAAGTGAACTTGGAAGAAGTTGTAACATAAAAATGCTGCATATTTGTTGCAAAGTTCATGTTGGCCAAAGGTGCTTGCTTCATTTTCAGGCCATTAAAAGATCCAAGAGTGCTATATCGGTTTGAGTGGGTATCTACGTGGAAAGGGAATGTTTACAGAACATTTGAATCTTTTACTGAGTTATTGTAGGCATTGTAGGCATCTCTTAAGGAGTTTCTTGGATGAAGGGAAGGAAAAGTAAATGAATATATGAATGTGAAATAGTTAGAAAGGATGAATGAATGAATGAATGAGTAAATGGGCATTTGTCCCTCTCACTCCTCTTGAGTTTCCCTGTTTTTAGAAATTGTGCTTGGATTTTTGCCTTCTTATTAAAATCATGATAATCAATGTCACTGATGGGCTTAAAGCTTGTTGTCCAATTCAGGCACAGAGCAAATGAGGAATTCAGTTTTGGTTGTTTTGTCCATGATCTTATTCTGCCAGGTTGCGCAACACGGTGGGTTCTTAGAAGATGCTAGTTAATACATTTAATTCTCTTATGGACCTCTTCCTTTAGACTCTTTCACATCCTTAAACAATTTAAAAAAACACCAGCTGTTTATGGGCATGCCACATCTTTAGCAAAGCTTCTTTGACCAAATGCATTATTTAATGACCTTTGTTCATCTTCCACTCATAACATATTTATTAAGCACCTACTATGTCCTGGGCAGTGACATGGGAACTGGGAACGTGCTGGTGAACTACAAAGGCTCTTCCCCTACCCCTGCCCCCACCAGCAGTTTCCATTTCAGTAGGAAGATATCAAATGATACAAACAAATTAAGTTAATAAATAAGATTGCAGGGGAGAAGGGGGTGCTTTGTGAAGGAAACAGAGCTAACCTGAATTTTGGAAGCTGGTGTTTGCTAGGCTGCTGTGATGAGAGTGGAGAGCAGAGACCATACCCTTGACAGACAGTGAAACCCAATGATGGGGAGGGTGTGTCGTTGTCGCTTTTACACAACAACTGATAATGATTCTGTGCCGCATATTGCTACATGCAAATTCTGTTCTATGGTTCTTCCCACAATTCCATGCCACAGAAGAGGAGGATGTGGGGGAAAAAATTTCAAGTATGCAAAGGAACACAACTTGCATGGGAGGCAGGAGATAGGTCGCATAGGTAGCTGATATGGTAACACTTTCCTAAAGAGGAAACCAGGGGAAGACACTTCGGTAAGTGAAATGTCTCATCCCTTCCCTTACTAAGCAACATTTTTGTAGTTTGTCCTCGGAGTTGTTAAAGCAAAGAAAAAGGCCTGTCCCTTGCCTACTTGAAATTCTTGGCTATTTTTCTGATTTTGGTGAGATTGGTTTTCTTGCAGGGCTGTATCCTTGATTATATCTGTCAGGGAGCTCAGAAGTGAGTAATGATAGTGAATAAACCATGGACCTTCTGGGACTCTTACAACTGCCTTCTACAGAGTGTCTTGCCTTCCACTTACTTTTGTTCTGCTTGCAGTGATGTTCTGTCCCTTGACAGTTAGGACGTCTTTACTTCGGATGATTTTTTTTTTTTTTTTTGCGGTACGCGGGCCTCTCACTGTTGTGGCCTCTCCCGTTGCGGAGCACAGGCTCCGGACGTGCAGGCTCAGCGGCCATGGCTCACGGGCCCAGCCGCTCCGCGGCATGTGGGATCCTCCCGGACCGGGGCACAAACCCGTGTCCCCTGCATCGGCAGGCGGACTCTCAACCACTGCGCCACCAGGGAAGCCCCACTTCGGATGATTTTTACAGGCCCATCTCTTATTTCCAAAGTAGCCACAGGGAAGCTGTGTTTTACATGAAAGTGAATGGAAATGGGTTTGGGGGGGATACGTTTTGTGATATTTTCTTTGAGGTCACTGAAAACTTCTAAAGGTGATTGTAAAACTATGACAGAAGAAGAACAGTGCTAGAGCCCCTTCCCACTATTCTAATGTCAAGCCCAGGAAGGTAATTTTAAATTAATTCTTTTATTTATTCAGTAAACACCTAAGGAACATGAACCATGTAAACGACCATGAAAGACACCCCCAGGGACAAACCTTGTCTTCTAAGAAATTACCTTCTGGTGGGTAGTGAGAGAGAGGTGCATTCCAAAAACAATTTCACAATCAATTATTTAACTGCCGTTGGGTTAAGTGCTAAACTGAGAAGTACAGAAAGCCAAGTCAATTTAAATTAGGGAAATCCCCAAAACACAGCTTTTTTTTTTTTTCTTCACCCCTGTAACCCCAGAGTTTGAGACATAGTAGGTGCTTGCCAACGACAGTAACAATTTGAATGAATAAATGAATTCGTGGAGGGTGTGTAGACTTGCACAATAAGGATCTTCCTGGAGCCAAATTGCCATTTATAAAAAGGGACACAAAATCAAGGCTCCTTTCCGTTTTCAGGTATTTCTGATGGAATTGACTCATTTTGTTAGAACTTTAAGAAGACATTCTCTTGCCTTTTTCCTTCTTACTCCGATGCTCCCTAAGTTCTTTCCAACTAGGGTGGAAGCAAGCCTTGTCATGGTTTTCAGAACTGTGTGGTTTTCAAAAAAAAAAAAAAAAAGAAAAAGAAAGGGCTTCCCTGGTGGCGCAGTGGTTGAGAGTCCGCCTGCTGATGCAGGGGACATGGGTTCGTGCCCCGGTCCGGGAAGATCCCACGTGCCGCGGAGCGGCTGGGCCCGTGAGCCATGGATGGCTGCTGAGCCTGCGCGTCCAGAGCCTGTGCTCCTCAACGGGAGAGGCCACCAGGGTGAGAGGCCCGCGTACCGCGAAAAAAAAAAAAAAATGCAGAGCAATCTGCCTTATCAGTATCTCTTGCAATTAATGTAATCTTGTTTCTGTTATTTCCACCATATTTTTCAATCCAGCGAGCCTCATTACATTTGCAAGTGCATTAAATTAGAGCCTCTATAGAAGGAGAATGATGATTATCAGCTAATTTAATTATGTTTCTACATTTGCAGCATTTAATGATGTCTGCCATTGTTGTGGGGATTCTTCCATTGGCTCCAGGTAGAATTAACACTGATCCCATGTAAAGTTTACGTTATCAGACAAAACTTGACAGCTCATTGAGGTGCATGTTCAGTAAGTTTTGAATCTAATCAAAATTGATTTATGTGCAATCAAATTACAGGAATAAAGAAACAGCTTCACATAATTTAGTTGCTGATTATAGTACTGCTTGCCTCTGAAGTCACACCGATGTGCGTCTCTTAGTTTTGTACCATTTCACCAATATCTAAAATTCTATATAGACTTTTTTTTTCCTTCCTGCTGCTGCTTTTTTTAAATTTTCACATTGCATAGTGGTTGGGTCCTGAGCTTCTGATACAGATCAGATTGACAGTTTGTGCCCCCGTGAGCTTTGTGTCCTGTTCAGCAAACATTGTCTGAGTGTCCTTAAGTGTCAGGCACAGGAACCTGGTACTAAATGCCTAGATGGGTCCTCAG